GATAATGAGGGAAAGAATTGGATCATTAGACTGGGCTCAGCACGGGACACTCCTTCTAGAATCCCCCTGAGCTATGAGCATCGGTGACAGTCCCAGTCTTTAATAGCTGGCCTGGCATGGGCACTGGCCAGTCGGAATGCCCCCTATGTCACTAGAGCAGGGTCCTGGACAATACATTTTGTGCGAGGCTTTCTTGGGCCATCATGTTGTGGGGAAGGTGGTGGACGGGTCCTCCAGGAGGACCTAGTAGAAGGGGAACTCAGGACTGTGGTTATTTACCAGCCTGTGCGGATGCGTGTGAATATTTCAACAATCGACACATGAGCCGCAGCTCTGGGACTCTGTATCCCAGACTTCTGAAGCAGTTCCTATCAAGATATAACCCACTTGGGATCTAAGGCAGCTATTGGTGGTGATGATTGTTGTTAAATGTTTGTGTCTTGATCAGTGTGCTCGTGTGAGAATTTGCTCAGACATCCTTGGTGTTCATCTGAGCTGGTTAGAACCCGGCCATTCATCCCCCATGATCTCTGTGCCTGTGACGTTCAGTGCAGGCAGAAGCCTGCTGACTCCATCAGGAACCCGAAGCTATTTGAGTCCTAGCCTGCTCTGAACCCGTCTTCGTGCTTGTTGGGGACTCTTGCAGAGTGAAAGAATACAGTAAAGTTACTGGCACTCCAAAGTTGGTTTTTTAGGAGGACTACACTGCCTATTTCCAGAAACAGGCAAAGATGTTGGCAGTAAAAAAGTTGGTGAGATTTTGTGCAGGAGCCTGAATTGGTGGACGGGCCAGGTCTGGTTATGTGATGGGTGGCTGGAAGGACAGCATCTGAGTGGGGTGAAATTCCCGAGAAAGTTTGCAGCTGGGACGTCTGATCACCCCAGAGAGGACCTCAGTTCCAAAAGGGACGATGCCACCTTTCTATCCTCGCCGTAAAAGAAGCTTTCATGCGCCCCATGAAGAGATGCTTCTCCTCGTATTGGTCATTGCCTTCAGAGCAATTTAATAGAATTTAAAAATAAGCACACAGTTGAATACCATAAAGTGGTTAAGCAAGCTGTTTCTGACTGTGCAAACTAACCTTTTTTCTATTTGCGAGACTGACTTACATTATATTATGCACGTACTGAGCCGTGGCCTGACTATATGATCCCCCATATAATATCCGCATTTAAGGTGGCCAGTTGGAGTGGATCCGCAGGGAAATGAGTTTTCAGCAGGATCCCTCACAGCGCGCGAGCCATCTCACAGCTTCACGTGCAGCCTTACCTCTTCTCCTAAATAACATTCTCTTCCCTTGATCCGCACGGAAGTCATTCTGAATTAAAAATAAAATGTTTGCTTTCCATGCCTTGGCTTAAACGTTGCATTGCGTTTAACTCTAATATGCCTTTCATGATAGAATTTACTAGAGGGTCAGAGTAGGGTTTGAGGGTCAGATGTTCCCGCTCACCCCTCGTTTTGCGGATTTGGCTGACTTTGGTATGAACACACAGACCTGCGGTACATGGGGCAGAGCGTCGGTTTTACTTAGGCTCCCGTGGCCATAGGTGAGACTGGAGAGCACAGTGGGGCCCCCTCCCTCCCTGCCTGAGACTTGAGACTTACCCAGACTTCCTTTCTGGGGAGGCTGCTGGAAAAGTTGGAAGCAAGAACAGAGGCCTTCGTAGCTCTGGCTGTGGAGGGCGTGGCTGACTCCCTAGTTGACCGGCTTCAGCGGATGTCACACTGTCCTTGGTGTTAGTCCCTCTTCTTCCGCAAGGAGTGGCCAGGGGGACCAGAATCCTCCATGGAAAAGCTCCCTCCTAAGGAGGACCAGGACCTTGCTCTCTTCTCTTGAATGTACGGGGATGGGGATGCAGAGACCCCTTCTGTCCCAGCACAGTCCATCCCAGAGAAGCCCATTGGCTTTGTCGAAACTACTCAGAGTTACTTTCCCACGTAACAACAAGAGTGTCCAGACACGATCAGATGCAGCTGTGGAGCCAAAATGCCAAGTCGAGGTTCTTCACGAGGCCTTCCCTGGCTGAGCCAGGGGACCCCTCTCCGGTGCTCCTGTGGGGGGAGCACACTGAGCCCGCTCTGTTTTCACCCTGACGGCGTTAGATTAAACTTCTTTCTCCCCCTAGATTGTGAGCTCCTTGAAGCCAGAGACCGTATGTTTGTCATTTTTATATCTCTGCCTCCTAGCACAGTGCCTGGATTGTAGTAGGTCCTCGGTAAATATTTGTGAAACTAAAATGAAAGGCACATTCAGCCAGCTGCTAGAGGTCTTTAAGTGGTAGATGAAAGGGTGTGGATTTGAGGCCGTTTGTAATTGGAAACAGTAGCAGGTTTTAGTGGATTGACATGATCAGAACTGGAATACAAGACTAAAAATGTAGTATTTGAGAAAAGCCAGAGACTCTTGAGATTTAAAAGGACCTTAAAAGATGACCTAACCCATCTACAGATTCTACAGCTGACTCTTCTAGAACTTTCCTTGTAGTGGTTATTGGGCCTTTGAACACCTGCCCAGGGAGCCTATTCTATTTTCACAATAAACCAAAATACCGTCTATAGCTTAATCCACAATATTGTCCCTTGGAGATACCTAGAGAAAGTACTGCTTCTTTTCCCCATGACAGACTTTCATTAATTTCACGAAAAATGGGCATGTTTCCCTACCCACACTTGTCACATAAACACACCTGGTTCATTCAGCCGTTCCTCATATGTATAATTTACAGTTCCTGCACAACCCTGGTAGCTGTCTTCTGAATGTGGTCCAGTGAATGCACATTCCTCAAAAAATACATCACTAGAATTGAAAAGGATATTCCAGGTATGGTCCAGCATAGAAAGAGTTTATTACCTCTCTGGTTCCAGAAACCATATGCACATTAAATGCAACCTAACTCATTAGCTCTGTTGATGACCCTGACCCATCTCTGAGTCATATTTAGCTTTCTGTTGATGAAGACATAGTATTTTCCTGTGCTGCGACTGAGGCCAGGTAGCTACCAGCCTCTCCTGATGTAGTTGCTTGTTGGGACCCAAGCAGAGAACATCACATCCTGCTAGCCCATTTCTCATATCTCCCAAACCTCTCTGGTTCCATACCATGCCATTCAGCGTATTTGCTACCTTTCTTAGCACTGTGACCTCCCAAGATTTGAGGAGGATGCGCCTTCCTGTTACTGTCTTTATCCAAGTTCATATGAAGATGTTAAGCTGGATAGACCAAGGACAGAGTTCTGTGGCATACTGCTAGAAACCGCTCTTTTTTTTTTTATTTATTTTTATTTTTTTTTTATTTTTTTAATTTAAAAAAAAATTTTTTTTTTCAACGTTTATTTATTTTTGGGACAGAGAGAGACAGAGCATGATACGGGGGAGGGGCAGAGAGAGAGGGAGACACAGAATCGGAAACAGGCTCCAGGCTCTGAGCCATCAGTCCAGAGCCCGACGCGGGGCTCGAACTCACGGACCGCGAGATCGTGACCTGGCTGAAGTCGGACGCCTAACCGACTGCGCCACCCAGGCGCCCCTAGAAACCGCTCTTGAGGTGGATGTCAACTTTGAGAATGACTTAGGACTTACATCCCTACCCCATAATTTATAAGACTATCATAACAGGCCTTATAACATGCGTCATTGAAGTCTGCATTTTGGTATAATCAAAGGGGAAAATGAGCTTAGGCAGATACGGCCAATTCTGAGTACAATTTTGCTGCCTCTTGGTGATTGCAGTTTCTTTTTCTGGCTTCCCATGAAAATTCCTTTTAATAAACCGTTTTTGATTTTGCCCAAGATTTCCCGAGGTGACCTGTATACAATTTTTGAATCTACCTTCTTCTTCATTTTGAAAACGTGAGTGACATTTGCCATTCCCCCACCCCCAGCCCCCTCCGAGACTTTGGCACATCTTCCATTTTCCATGATTACTCAGAGGTTTCTGAGGGTGCTGGAGCTCTACCGGTCTCTACTGCTGGGACTCGAATATCTAGGCTGTGATTCTGAAGCTATGTTTAATTTCACCTCAAGCCTGCTGTCAGATTTTTTTCCAGGCCTTGGCTGCCGGGACCAGAACTTACTCTGTATTCCCAGTTGTTACACTGCATGTACAGAAGTTAAAAAAAAAAAAAAAATCAGTATTATAGCGAAAAAAAAAAAAATCCAGAACACTATACCTCACACAACTTTCTAGTTAGGTTAAATGCACAAGATCTAGTGTGTGCTTTGGGTTCTTTGATTTGCGAGTGTCTTTCTTCAAGTAAAAGAGCTTATTATAAGGATGTGAGGGGCAAGACCAGCAAAAGATTGTTCCTTAGAAACATGAAATGGAATCAAGAAATGGCCAGGTCTTGGAATTGGGAGATCTGTGGCCCCTCTGAGTGCTGGCTGGGCTTGTGGTCACCGCGGGAGCAGCAGCTCTATATCAAGAGTAAATCCAACTTCTTTTCCTTTTTTCCCCCCTGCCCCTACAGCCAATCTCAGACCTTAATTGTTTATTCATTTATTTATTTATCTATTTATCTATTTATCTATCTATCTTATCTATTTATCTATCTACCTACCTACCTACCTACCTACCTACCTATATATCATCTATTTATTTATTTTCCTCAGCTCCTTTCTTTGCCTTGTCTCTTACTGGTATGATACCAATGTAGTGTCTCTTTCTCTACCTCAGAATTTATATTTCCTCGTCTTTTTGACTCAGCCAAAGCTTTGCCTCATCAATAGCATCTTGTGGTTGATTTCTTTACCCCTTCTCTTGTCCAGGGGGGCCTTTTAAGACGGTGTCTGTGGTAATTTAGGGAGAAGCCTGCCCCAAGTCTTTGAGAAATTAAGTCATCTGTATTTGTCCTAGTAGAGCAGAGCATTTTTGGGGGTTTTGCTTTTCTCTTCAAACAGATCTGAGAAAACTTGCTAATGTCTCTACTTCTTTGACAGTCTTGTGAGCAGTCACAGCCTAAGTCACACACACAGTCTCTTTCTGAGGAAAACCGCTTACCTTCCGGACTGCCACGTTCTCCTCCACTTGACCCTGGCTCCAACATGGCTGGCTGGATGACACTCATGCACCTGACCCGAAGACAGCCAGTCTGTGGACTGGCCAGCGGAAAGTTCTTCCCACACAGGGACGAGATGGGCCAATCAGATTATTTCTCTCTGAAGGCTCTTAACTGAAAACGGAACTAGGACCAGGCAAACAGGAGAGGGAGATAAAAACCCAGAGAGAAACTCTGAGAGACCAGGGAGTGACTAGTGCTTTTTGCCTAAGGGAAAGGGGCCAGGTGTATTTCATGTCCGTTTGGACAGATCCATATATTCCTATACATAAATACTGTATGCCTATTTCATAGAACTTGGCACATGAGGATGAAAATGGGGCGTTTTGCAGGCGAGTTAGGAGCCATACACTGATTCAAAGACTTCACTCTTTCTTCTATTGTAGGAGCTCCACTTCCCTCTTGAGTAGACCCCTCTCTCCCATCCGTGCTGCTGGGCATCCCCTGGCGGTTTTCTGGCTCCTCTGAGATGTGGAAGGGGTGCCCTGCTCCTTTTCTTCTTCCACGCTGGCCCCTTTTGGTGACATTTGCCTGCTTCGCCTCTTGGCCTTATCTGTACTCTCAACTGTCCCCTAGTGTTGCGGACTCCAGCGCGCTGTGGGTGCTGGCCGGGGCTCCAGGTGCTAGGCTCTGCCTCTCCTACAGTTGCTACACCTGGAGCCCTGTCGGAGCGTTTCAGAGCTGGACACTAGCTAAAGTGGTGAAGACAGATTTTATTCGGTAACTATTGCAATCGAGGAGAAGAGACGCCAGTGTAGAAGTGGGCTCAAGTCCAAATATGTGTGGGAGGTCATAGCCAAGGAGCAGGATGAAGGGGAAAATGAAGCAGTAGGTGGAAAATGACCAAGAGGGACCATCGAGGATGGAGGGATTCTTACTACAGTGGACCAGACAAGCCAAGGATGGGGCTCCGTGATGAGGCCTTGTCGGAAAGAGGGCTTGGAGGAGCCCGTGTGACGTTTGGTCAAGGAGAGAGTCTTTGTCAGCCTTCACTCCACCAAATTTGTATTGCGTTTCTGGAACCACAGATGAATTGGAGCTGCATCTTGTTCTCGTCTTAAATGAGGGTCTTGTCTCCCTTTTGTGTTACTCGGTTACATTCTCCTAAAGAGGTACTGTCTCAGTTCCCAGTAGCTCAGACATGGAAGCAAAACTTATCTTTCTGATCATTCGTTCAGGCTTCATGCACAGATCTATGGCAGCCGGGACTTGCGGGGGAAGAAGATTTTCCTGAGAGCAATCTGAATGACAGATGAAATACAGTGCTTGAAACCATGCCCTCCCGGCCCTCCAACAACCGAGGCATTGTTGAGGACCAACCTGTGACCTCATAGTCTCTTTCCTTAATCGTACGTGACAGCCCTCCCCAGCCCTTCCTGCAGACTGACCCTGTGGAGCCTAGACCAGCCACACCTGGATACCACCTGGGACCCAGCCAGGGCGCAAGCCAGAACTGCCCCCTCACCCACCCCACCCTCCCCACCCTCCCCACCCTCCAATACTTGGAAAGAAAAGACACAGAAAACTCAATGTACCTCAGCCTGACCCCTGCCTCAAAACTAGGAAAGCTGTATTTCTTTCCAACTCTCTACACTTCATACTTTATTTTTTAAGAGTTGTTTGCAATATTTTATTTATTTTTAAAATGTATGTATTTAAACTTGAGTTAACATGCAGTGTAGTATTGGTTTCAGGAGTAGAACCCAGTGACTCATCACTTACGTACAACACCCAGTGCTCATCCAGACAAGTGTCCTCCTTAATGTGCATCACCCAGTCAGCTCATCCTCCCACCCAACCTCCCGTCCAGCAACCCCCAGTTTGTTCTCTGTGTTTAAGAGTCTCTGACGGTTTGCCTTCTTCTCTGTTTCTATCTCATTTTTCCTTCCCTTCTCCTATGTTCATTTGTCTTGTTGCTCAAATTCCACGTATGAGTGAAATCATATGATGTTTATCCTTCTCTGACTTGACGTATTTCGCTTAGCATAATACATTCTAGTTCCATCCAGGTTGTAACAAATGGCAAGATTTCATTCTTTTTGATCGCCAAGTAATACTCCGTTGTATATATAAACCACATCTTCTTTATCCATTCATCAGTTGATGGACATTTGGGTTTTCTCCACACTTGGCCATTGTTGATAGCGCTGCTATAAACATTGGGGTGCATGTGCTTCTTCAAATTAGCATTTTTGTATCTTTTGGATAAATGCCTAGTAGTGTAATTGCTGGGTCATAGGGTAGCTCTATTTTTAATTTTTTGAGGAACCCCCGTACTGTTCTCCAGGGTGGCTGCACCAGTTTGCATTCCCACCAGTCTTGCAAAAGGGTTCCCTTTCCCCACATCTTTGCTAACATCTGTTGTTTCCAGAGTTCAATTTTAGCCATTTCTGACAGGGGTGAGGTGGTATCTCAGTGTGGTTTTGATTTGTATTTCCCTGATGATGCGTGATGTTGAGCATCTTTCCATGTGTCTGCTGGCCATCTGGATGTCTTCTTTGGAAAAGTGTCTATTCATGTCTTCTGCCCATTTCTTTGCTGGATTATTGTTTTTTGGGCGTTGAGTTTGATAAGTTCTTTATAGATTTTGGATACCAACCCTTTTGCTGATATGTGATTTGCAAGCATCTTCTCCCATTATGTCATACTTTACAAAAATGAAATCTGACAGAACCACTTCAGGACCCTTTCCAAAGAAGTAATGTTTTACTGAAAGCGATCGGAAAGAAAGGCACAGGTAGGCATTCACAAGAATTAAGATACAGGAGTTAACCTAGACCTTTGGGCGGGAGAGGGGCCTGACCTGTGAGTGTAGAGAACTTCTGCTGGGAGCGTCATGGTCCCAAAATGGGGCTCTCCCTAGAAAAATGGCCATTTCTTTTGATATTTCCAAAATCGTCACTCTTGGGTTTGCCCTGTTTTCTCATGCACCGTTTCTCTTTCCAAGAAAGTGCTAGTGGTTCTGTGTCCTGGCACTTAGCTGCAGCCTCTTTATAAATGTGTTCTCAAGTCTTTACTGAAAGACTGTCCTTTTGGAAAAGCATTTTCCAGGAGCACAGCATTAATTCAAGAGAGCTCTTGCAGCTTTTATTGTCGCTCTAATCCTGTATCGCTTTGCACAGGATACCACCATTTGTTTGTATTTTCCCTACAGTTTTTGTTTTTGGTAGCTTTGTACCGTTCTAGTGGCGGCTGAAGTGATTTTGAGCATTTGCAGCATGATGTTAATTAACCAAATGTTTCGACCTGGAACTTTAAACACCTGGGCCGCCATAAATTGCTCTGAATCCGTGTGGAAATCTCGGAACAGTGGGTGTTGAAGATTTGGGATAAAACAGAGAGTAGATGGCGAGAGGTTTTATGCTCTCCTCGTTTTGTGAGGCAAAATAAAACCAGACGAGGAGGCGTTGGGCTCCTTAGAGTTTATTGCCTGCAGCAGGCATTGTCACTCGGGCGCAGGTTAACCCGCAGTGGCTCCAGAGCCTGTGTCTGAATGTAGATCGCTCAGGTTTAGTCCACGTTTGACCCTGTTTCCATTTCACTTCCCTATTCTGCCAGTCATTGGGCTTGATACGTTAAAAAAAATTTTTTTTTAACATTTATTCATTTTGGAGAGCGAGAGAGACAGAGCGTGAGCAGGGGAGGGACAGAGAGGGAGACACAGAATCCGAAGTAGGCTCCGAGCTGTCAGCATAGAGCCCGACGTGGGGCTCGAACTCACGGACTGAGCGATCATGACCTGAGCTGAGCTGAAGTCAGACGCTCAACCGACTGAGCCACCAGGCCCCCCTCCCCCCGCGCCCCCCCCCCCCCCCGGGCTTGATATGTTTTCAAGCTTGGAGAGTTGCAGCAGAGTCAAGGCTGGCCATGGGAACCGCTAGGGTGTCAGGCGAGACGCTGGCACCCAGACCCTCTACTTGTTATTTCTTCCCGCTAGGGATCCTGACCCACAGAGCATCTACAAAAGGAAGCGTATTCAAATCGGAAAGGAAGCGCTATGTCATGAACAGTGGAGCAGACACCTGACAACCTCACAGAATCACCCGCACAAGAAAGGGGGCCTTGCTGGGCCCCCAGTGCGTCAGAATGGCTGTGCCTATGGAACAGACCCATCCTTTCTTCCACCCAGTCCGAGGTGCAAGAGCTAAAGCGGACTGAGGACAACGGTTGACTTGTCTACGGCAGGACTTTTCGGAAGCGGCACGAATGACATTTCTAATTCTCTGTTGTGGGGGGCTGTCCTGGGCAGGATAGGATGTCTGGCAGTCTTCCTGGCCTCTCCTCACCAGATTTCAGTAGTGAAATTCGTCCGCCCTAGTCTTGGCAACCAAAACGTCTCCAGGCATACATTGCCGAGCCTCCCCTGGGGTACAATTCCCCCCCCACCCCAGCTGAGGATTGCCGGCCTATGGGAAGCAAACCCTAACTGGTCTGGATTTTCCCAGTGGTAACCAGGTTACGAAGCCTAAGCTGGGTCATGGACCCGTGAGGAGAGAATCTAGAAGAAGCCTTTTTAACTCGAGTGCAAAATGGGACTGAAGCTCTTTCAGATGTTGGCTTCCAAATGTCACGTGTTAGAATCATCTGGGGGCTTTTAAAAATTCTCATGCCCTGGCCACACCCCAGTGTCAGTTAAAATCAGTATCTCGGAGGGGAGAACCGCACCTTCAGGGTTTTTAAAGCTTCCTAGGGATTCCAGCGTGCAGCCAGATGTGAGAACCAGTGCCTTAAAGTACAGTCACTAGTTAAGGTGCGGTCACATTGCCTGGCTGGCAGATGTGCCATGTGACAGACCACTTCCTGACTGTACCAGTAGTTCCCAAACTTCACCTTGCATCACAGTCACCCGGAGGGCTACCTGTTGAGAAAGAAATCTTTCTGCTTCGTTAGGTCTGGGGTGGGGCCTGATGTTTTGCATTTCTAAGAAGTTCCCAAGTGGTGCTGATGTGACTGGACCATCAAAGCGCCTTTGAGAACCCCTGCTGATGACCCTCAACGTGAACCTTCTTACCTGAGGAGCAGGGGCTCCAATGTCCCAAGTCAACAGCACCACCCAAAGACAGACCCAGAAGTACTCACCAAGCACCCTTGTTCCCTCACCCCTTCATCTTCTCAGGGTGTTTTCTCTTTTTTCCATCTTGCGTGATTCATGGCCCACTTAGTTCTAGAGAAGGCTCTCTC